CTCCAGGTCTTGCTTTTGCTGACTGTATAGAGCTTCTCCATCTTTGGCTGCAGAGAATATAATCAATCTGATTTCGGTATTGCCCATCTGGTGATTTCCATGTACAGAGTCACCTCTTGTGTTGTTGGAAAAGAGTGTTTGTGATGACCAGCTTGTTCTCTTGACAAAACCCTATTAGCCTTTGCCCTGCTTCATTTTGAACTCCCAAGCCAAACTTTCCTGTTGTTCCTTTTATCTCTTGACTCCCGACTTTAGCATTCCAATCCCCTAGAATGAGAAGAACATCTTTCTTTGGTGTCACTTCTAGAAGGTGTTGTAAATCTTCATAAAATTGTTCCATTTCAGTCTCCCCAGCAATGGTGGTTGGAGCATAAACTTGGATTACTGTGATGTTGAAAGGTCTGCCTTGGATTTGTATTGACATCATTCTATAATTTTTGAGATTGTATCCCATTATAGCTTTTCCCACTCTTTTGTTGACTATGAGGGCTACTCCAGTCCTTCTACGGGATTCTTGCCCACAATAGTAGACATGATAATCATCTGAATTGAATTCGCCCATTCCTGTCCATTTTAATTCACTGATGCCCAGGATGTCGATGTTTATTCTTGCCATCTCCTGTCTGACCACATCCAGCTTCCCAAGGTTCATAGATCTCACATTCCAGGTTCCTATGCAGTATTTTTCTTTGCAGCATTGGACTCTCCTTTCACTTCCAGGCACGTCCACAGCTGAGCATCCTTTCGGCTTTGGCCCAACCACTTCATTAGAAGCTACTTGTCCTCCGCTCTTCCTCAGTAGCATGTTGGACGCCTTTCAACCTGAGGGGCCCATCTTTCAGCATCCTATCTTTTAGGATTGTGGGGCGTAAAGATACTGGAGTGGCATTGCCAATTCCTACTCCAGGTGGATTGCGTTTAGTTGGAACTCTCCACTACAACCTGTCCGTCTTCGGTGTCCCTGCACGGCATAGCCCATAGCTTCTCTGAGTTACCCAAGCCCCTTCGCCACGACAAGGCAGCAATCCATGAAGGGGAGACTTGAGCTTGCAGGAGCTGATCAGGCCTGCTGAGGACAGTACATTTTGGAGATCGCTCATTCATAAGGTCACAATAATTTGAGGCAATTTGATGACACATAACACTACCACCCACATTTGTAATGGATTTTTTTGAATAATTTGTATGATGAGAGTATATTTTCTGTTGCATACAAGGTGATCTAGCATAAAGGCAACATATTATGGTAAACCCTGTTGTTGATAATCATACTCATCTTGATTGTGCTGCCAACAGTCAGATCCTAAACCTACATGTTTGGAAGGAAGCCATAGACATCAAAGGGACCAACTGCTAGCCATGTACGCTTAGAAAAACCATTTCAATGGACCTCACGTAGGAAACAAAAACCGTTTGCGATGGGTTTCTTTTCTCCTGGTAATATAGCATACAGGACTTTAGTAAGTGAAGCATTCCATATCATCATCATTATGCCCCAGAAAGCATCATCCAACTCTTACAGGATACTGTGCCCTGGTATCTGCCAATGCCACAACACAAGTGTCACAGTCATAGGAAACACAGAGAGCACTAGCAAAGTATAGACAAGCATTTATAAAATGAATTAGGGAATATGCTAACATGAAACAAAACATCCTCCCCGAGAATAACAGCAAGACCATCAACCATATTTGCTTCTTCCAACATTAGTTCCCAAATATTTTATTCTGTCATGCCTAGTTGGCCTTACCTGCTGCGGGGATGCCATATGGGTTGTAGATAGGGCCAAGGAGCCATGGATTAGGGAATGACTGTTGTGGTGCTGTTGCTTGTGCATAAAAGAATGGCCTTGGATTTGTGGAATAAGGCCCATTTTCTGAGGCGGAGGAAGCATTCATTTTTAGGCTAGAAACAAAAAAACAGTTGGTATCAAGCACTATCTTAAAAACATTATACACCTTTGCTGAGCTATTTGAAATTGACATTCTGGGATATCTGAGGATGGCGGAAGTCCTTGATTGTCTGTAGACTCTATAGTGGTACACATTATTCTGTGTTTCCCCCCCCCCCATCCTCATTTGGTTAGTCAAATGACCACATTAAGACAACTGCAGCCTTTGACACACACTTGCTGTTTGCTTGGTGGGCAGGCCCTAATACCAGCCTTTGGGGAAAACTATATTCTGAGGCCTCATTATGCATTGCCATTTTATTCTCCAAGCCTTGTATTCATACAGTCAGAGAGACCCATAAACAACACTTTGCCCCATACTACTTGGGACATACCACAATAATGCATGGTTAGCCATTTATACAATATGGATTTTTGTCAACTTGAGTTTACAAAATGTAAAGACCAGCACAGAGCAAGGTCAGTGCTTTCCTGCTAAAGAGGCCTTGTAATCTAAACCCCTGTGGTTTCACTCAGCATTCACTACCACTGAATTCAAAGGGGCCAACTTCCATATAAGTATGGAAGGCATATTTCAGATATAACTTCCAATATAATAAATTCTAAAAGAACAAAAACCCTATATAATGCAACACGTTTGTCTTCTCTACTCAACTTATTCCACCACCCCCTTAGCTAAAGGGAAGAATCTTATATTGCTCCACTAATGTTAGTAATCAGTGGGATTTTTTGAAACAGTGAATTCAAATGTGTATCTGAGCTCCCATGAAACAACTTACCGTATGTAGAATATAGAACTGCACCTATAGTTCAGAACTAATATAAAAATTGCAAATTAAGATAACTTCACAATGGTATAAAAAGCAGGTGGGGGAAAAGAAAAATGCACTTTGAAAATAAATAGTAATGTACATACCTTTTCTGGAAGCAAGAGACTGTAAAAAAAAAATCCACAACCCAATAAACCAAATCCAGAACAAACTAACACAAAGCCCTTTTAACAATGGGCTAGCCTCAACCACATATTACGAGCCTTTTGTCTTGAGCCCTCACCTCCTTCCCACCCCCTTCCATAAACCACACTTCTCCACCTTCAAACTATTTCAAATCTTAAATACAAGCTCTATAAAGCTATGTCATTTCCACCCCTGCTGGTCTTGACCCAACCCCTCCTCCACCAAACATTTGTGCTACTGCTGCTGCACAGGAAGACAGCCCAGCAAAGAACTACTTGAAAATGCCCTTCACCTTTCTTAAGAAGCAACATCCCTTCTTTACACACCTGAAACTAATGTGGCCTTTCCCAATATAACAAAAAACTTACACCCAGCATCTCCTATATAGAGTTGAGTGAGCCTAAGATGATTGATGTCAATGGGCTGTTTAGACCCAGCTTTCTCTGTATACGATAAGGCTGCATGTAGTCAAGCTTCCCCAGTCCTTAAAGTTCAGACATCACCAGAAAAGGGAGGCTAGTACCCATTGCAGTTCAAGGCTATCATGCTGCAACTACTTAGCAAAGTCTTATCTATTACTGTAATTCTCAAGTTTCCTTCTTTCCTTTATTTATTTGCATTTGTATTTTCATTTCTACCCCACCTTTCTTCACACACAGGGACTAAAGGTGGCTACTTGCAGCAGAGTGGAAACAGCCTTTTCTTTTGACAGTTCAGGCTAACAAATCAAGGCAGCTCATGGTCCATGAGGGAGGCACCCTCTGCCAGGCCTACAGGCCACCCTCACAGACAGAACTAGATCTCCAAGGCTCAGCAGAGTTTCTTGCCTGACAATATGTGTGAATGTTTCTGCTGACAAACTAACAAGAAAATTGGTAAAGGCTTCAGTCCTGTAATCACTTAATTTTCAACAGACCCATTGTTTGAATTTATAATTCTGAATGGATTGTCTCCGATGTACTTTACTGGTACAGTAATGCACAAAAGTCTCAGGAGAAAATACATGTTTGAAAATGAGTGGATGCCCTGTGGAGGAAAGTTTTAAAAGACCAACTATCAAAAGTACCCCAGTGCATGTCCTGTGTCTCCATTATAAAAAGAATGCTTCCTCGTCTGTTTGAAATTTGGTAATCTCCAGCTTGCCATCAGCCTGCCTTCTAAGAGGCTGACTGGTACAAGCAGAAACATTATTTTATTGAAACACAGCTCTGATAGAAGGGCAAGTAATTTACTCCTCTGAGGAAAAGAGGCTTATACTATAACTGGTTTCTTGTGGCTGGCTCATCTGCACGGATGCTGCTGAAAGCCCGATATGAGTGTATCTTCAGATTTGCTTCTTGCTGTCTTGAAAAATGCACAAGCTATGTGTATGTGCTTCTCTATACTGAGGAATAGATGGCTACACAATGGAGCCATGACATACTGATTTAGATTTGCAAGCAGAGTAGCTCATCTCAAATTTTAAAGAATGGCAAGTGCCTCCACCTGAGTCACAAGCAAGTGAACTTTCACAGCAGGTACGTGCAGTATGCTATATAGACTGCCACCGCGGGACACTTTTGCATGCCCCTGTTAACTGTAATTGCCAGAGGGTGCTCACAAGTGCTTTTCATGAGGCACTTTGGGGTGCATATTTTAATTATGACAATACACAAGGTGGTTGTGATAAAAAAAATATTTGCTGGAACCCCATCTTTCTATACTGGCAGCCAGTGAAGAAGGATGAAATTGGCTGTCTGGCATCTCAGCATCTGCAAGGAAGCCACAATAAAAGCAATGAGGTTTACTCCTATGTAGACACACAAAAGACAACAGACTTATAGATGGCTTCTTAGCTGTGATTGGAATATCTTCCATAAGAAATTAAGATGGGACTTCCTGGCGTTCTTCTGCATGTATAAAGGAAGTGGGGAGAAGGGAAACAAGCCAGTCCTTCATTTTATTTCCAGTACTGATTCTTTTTTAGTTTAATTGCCGACGCAAGGTGCTGATCGAAGTCTTGAGTGGGTCTCTCTCTATATCCAGAGTGGATAATAGTCAGTGTGGACGAAAATTTAGGTTTCCTATGAGGCTGACTAATGTTATACGTACAGTACTCCCGTACGCGTAAAACACTTCGAAAAGACATTGTGCGGGAGCAGTTGCAAGAGCCGCCAGCAGAGGGCGAGGCGGGAAATTGGTCCACAACCACGCTTATCAGCCTTTCTTTGTACTATCTAAACAAGAATTACTCGGATTGCCATAACGTCAGGTTATACACATGCGCAGAGATGGAAAAGGCCGCTTTCTCTGCGTGTGTGTGTGTGGGGGGGAGCGAGCGAATCCTAGTGGATACGCATGCGCCCAAAGGCGGTTCTGGCTCTGCGGGAAGTTTCTCTCTCCCTCCCTCTTCTTTCCCGCCTACATTCGACTGCCTCACTCGGAGCCTGCGCAAGGGTGGGACCAAACTCGGCCCGGGTCCGCTCGCGCGCCCTTTGGCTCTCAACGGACGTCGGGGCGAGCGGAAAGGGAGGGGAAGGCGCGCGCAGCCGCCGTGCGTCCCTCCGCGCAGGCCCTTTCCCCACCTCTTCCCTTTTCCGTGCCCCGGAGGATAGTGAGGGGTTGAAGTGGCAGCCGCGCAGGCCGGAGGTTGGGGAGGGAAGCAGGGCGAGAGAGCGGGTGGGGGTGGGGGTGGGGTGGTCTTCTTTCTCTTCTCCGCCCACAGTTATCTTGTAGGCCTTTTCTTAGGGTCCGCTGTCCTTTTCTACAGAAGGGAACGGCCGTCGAACCCAGGCTTATTTCTCCCTGTCCTCCGCCTCTTCCTCCTCCACCATCCTTTTCCCAGAGGCAGGCTGTGGCCTGGGAGTAGGTGCTGGAAGGAAGACCCCTCGGCTCTTCTTGGCTGGGTCTGGCCGAGCGGGTCGATGAGCCCTGAGGTGTTCGGCACCGGCTCCCACAGAGGGGGAAGCAGGAACGGGGCGGCCGGAAAAGGGAGAGGAGGCCAGCGCCTTTGATTCTGCGCCGGGGAGTGAGGGGTTTATGCGAGTCTGTCACTCTCGGCGGCTTCGCCGGTGGCCCCCAGGGTGCGCCTGTGCCATTTGTTATCTGAATTACCACGCAAACGGAAGCAACACAGGCTGTGATCGTGAATTCCCTTCTCGATCGTATCGCAGACTCGGTGCCTGCCGTCAATGTCACACTGCGGTTAAACACCTGGCAGACGGTTCTTGGTCCCAGAGTGGGTGGGTGAAGGTGATTTCTTCGGGGGGGGGAGGCGCGGATTGCATGGCGTGGGTGAGTGGTGAAGGCTGGTGTAAGCTTTCGCGTGTCTTTGATCGGAATCAAATTCAGGTGGGGCCCGCCTCAGCGTGTCTGCATTGCAGTTGCTTAAGGATGCAGCATCCTGATGTTGCTACATGGAATACTAATAGTACTGTATTCGTGTTCGCCTCAGGAATTCTTACAGAGCGGCAATTAGAAACGTTCCCGGGCCCCCAGAAGGGAAAGCAGATAGGGGGTTTGATATCGTAGCCTCCTAGTGGGCGAATAATGGTATGGCTTATACAAAAAATTGAGAGAAAGGAGTATTTTTCATTCTCCTTTTGGAAAGGATCCATAGAAATGAAATTGTGACAGATAGTTTTGTAATTAAAGTGGTTTATTTAGGTAGTGTTTCTTGCCTGTCATTAGGAATTATGTAGTTATAACTTAGTGACTAAATGTGTTTCTTAGTTTGTGTGTTGTTTGAGAACAATGGATAGATTACATACTGTTGCCAAGGTGAGAAACTGAACTGTTGGGTTGATGTTCACAGTCATATGCCTTTTAAACCCAGAGTTTACTTTAAATGTTAGACATCTGGCATGTTGCAGTTGTCACAATAATTGTATGAAAGTGCTGGATAGCTTAGTGATTTAGATATCTGACTGTGGAGCTAGAAGTTGGGGGTTTGATTCCCCACTGTGCCTCCTTGACAGGGGCTGGGTTGGGGGATCTTTAGAGTCCCTTCCATCTGTGCAGTTCTAAGATTATGATGATTAGGAACAGACACTGTTAAAATATTGCTTCTAATTCTTGATTTGGGCCAAACTGAAAGACTAAATGGTATTAATGCTGTTCCTAATTAAGTAACCCTAACCCTAACAATTCAATAATTGTGTTTTTTTAAGTAGGTACTGTAATTTATGTCATATGTTAACACCACAGTTACAGATGCTGTGGATACTATCTCAGATTCAGAAAGTTCTAGTGTGATTCATTTCAAACTATATAGTTTAAAAATGCTTAAAGTGTAGGTCTGTATTAAGTGTTTCACAGAAAAATAGCTTAATATTGTAATGCATGGTTTGTAAGATCACCATTTCTATTTTCTTGGGTAGAAACTGGATTTCATTTGATTTGAATCACTGAAAGAGGAGAGCTCAATCTTGCTCAGTCATCCTGTTTGAACTTTTTTTAAAAGTGTGCTATCCTAGGAGATTTACATATTACATGGATGCTACCATAAGAAGCAGCAGCTGGTGTTGATAATGGTTAGATATTTGAACTCTGTTGGATGTATTTGAACATTTCTGTTGGAACATAAGTGCAATGGATAGTATACTTACTAGATTTGTAGATGAAACAAAACTGGAAGGAATAGAAATGCTTGAACTAAATTTTTAAGATGAGTTCACTTAACTTGGCAGTTATATGAAATGTGCAAATGTACTCATGTTGAGTAATTTAAAATAAGTGGGTAAAGGCTTTGAAATAACAATTGTACAGTTTACAGTTGTAAAATAACTAGTTGGGTACACCACAGTACAGATTAATGGATGTTAGTGGCTAAGCGGTGATGCATTAATCAGTAATGTGATGTTGTGGCACAAAATACCAATTCTGTATTATAAGAGGAGCAGTTATAAACAGGAGCCATAGTCCTGTGCAGGTGTCCAGACTAGCATTGTGAGCATAAAACATGAAGGATATGTAGGGGCACACAGTTCTGCCTCACTATGTCAACCTTGACCTTCCTGAGAACGGAGCAGTACAGGTCCAAATGTCTATTTCTCAGTACAGTGATTTAAATTCATGATTATGAATCCTGCCCAACATTCATAGAATTGTATTGAAGTGGAGGGATGAGAATCTGATGGATTGCCTCCTCTTTCTTGGAGATTTTAAAGAAGATGATATCTATCTTTCTGTCAAAATGTAGAATTGCTTGTAGGGCAAGAGTTTGGGAACACTTGATCAATTCAATTCCTTTTGTTTCTGGTTCTGCATTTGCCTTTTTGCCACCAATATATCTGTTAAATGCTTCCCAGATGGAATTTTCTAAAGGTTGAAGTGCTTTCTGTCATTTCCTCCCAAGAGTTTTGGCTGTGGTTTATGGGAAGCCTCTGGATTCTTTCTTGTTTTCACGAACTGCGGTTTCTGCTTGGTAGCTGATAGCAGAGTCATGTGGTACCTTTAACAGCAACAGATTCATTACAGCATGAGCTTTTGTGAATCCTGCAGTCAGTGTCCTCAGGTGCATTTGAAAAAGTGAGTCCACAGAAGCTGATGTTGTAATAAAACTGTTAGCCTTAAAGGTGCCACATAACTCTTTGTGATTTTAACATATGCAGTGTAGATGCTGCACAAAGCTGTCAAGTGTAATCAGCTGCAGGTTAGATGTCATCAGTATGCTCATATTCAATACTGGCCTAAAACTCCTTGCTTAAATTATGCTTATGGAAGGGCAATGGCATCATTGACTGGGGGATATTTTAGGTAATTAAAGACTTCCCTTGTCTCTCCCATGGCTTGTTTGACTCATAGAAACCACAGGAGTCACAGGATGGAAGAAAGTCTAACTACAAAAAAATCTCACCACCAGTAATATTAATTGGGCAATAGCAGTTTTTGGTAAAGTGACTCCCATAACCTCCATACAATCAAACAGGATTAATCGCATGTTGGACATGTCACAGGAGAGAAGAAGTATTTAATTATGAAAATTCCACCCACTGGTGGTTGTTATGTTTGTATGATGTTATTCTTCTAGAGGCATAATTTTTGCAAGAGGATTTCAGCCAGCATCTTTCATTCATAGCTATTCTTAGAGAAGCACTAGGAACTGTGAATGGTTGCTTAGCTGTGGGGGTTCTCAAATGAAAATTCAGATTTAATCAAGATCAGATGGGAATACTACTTTTTGAGGAATAGGCTGATCTGAAGTTGGATATACCAATCTATGTTTTTTGTTTTACCCAGCACTACTCTTCAATGCCTAGGTAGCTGCAGCACATTTTTATAGTTTTGCTTGGTACACAAACCAGGTACTTACCCTTTAGAAGGCAGACTTGATGAAAGATATTTATAGATAGACTAAATGTCAAGGAGAACCTTTACCTTTATTCATAGATGTGTAAATTTCACATTGGCTTATTATAATAGCTGTACATGAGACTGCAAAATAAACTATAACACCAGCTATTATGGCTGTCAGAGTGCAGTTTGAAGTGAGGATGTTTGAACTTCCTATTCCAGTTCTGCATTTGGTTAGCCCAGTTGCTAGTCGTTTCTCAGTCCAAAATAAGCTGCTGACTTATCTTTTAATTTCAGCCTCTTGGCATCAGGTGCCTTTATGAATGTGTTTGCCATTTCAAAAAATTTCATTCAACGTGTAAAAGTCCATGTTAGGTTCCCTTGCTAACTGTAATGTAATGAACAAGCAGGACCTCCTCAGTTATGGCATCAGCCTTCTGAAATAAATGTTTGGCTGTAAACAGTCTATAATTATTATAAATAGTTAGAAACAAATGCAGGAAATAAATAAGACCTGGCTTTTCAAAGGGGCTTTATATATTTATTTATTTAAAATATTCTTGCCTTGCCTTTCTCCTTAAAAGGACCCAAGGCAGCCTTTGGCACAGACTTGAGTTCAGTCTGGTTATTGTTCTTTTCTGGTTTGCCTTGAGTGATGCTTCATCTTTATGTGAGCTGCTACTATGTTGTATATTTAGTATGGCTATAGTTTTATTAAAGGTTCATATTTCATAATTCTAGTTTATTTCATTTTATAAGTGGCTCTGCTTTCTGTGTAGCTAAAGGGAATTATAGGCATATCTTATAATGCTTATCTGTCTTTAGGTGGAAGTTAAACATAGGAATTTTATAATTTCATGAACTGCAGGATAGCTCAGTGGTTTAGGTGTCCACTTGCAGAGCCAGAGATTGGGAGTTTGATTCCCCATTGTGTTTCCTTGACAAGGGATGGACTCGATGATCCATAAGGTCTTTTTCAGTTCTGGGGTTATAATCAGAGTGATTTTGATTTCAATTGATTGAAATCACAATTTAAATTTAAAAAATCAGATTTTTGGATAATTTAAATTAAAAATTGATTTTTAAAATTTAAATTGTGATTTAAATCATTTTGATTTTTAAAGAAATCATAGATTTTTATCCTCCCTGTCTAAAATTATGATGATTATTATGTTCTGCCTTTGCCTACTGTATTAAAAAAAACCACTGGAAAATGTTTGAGTCTCCTGTATCCCCAAGATCTCCATATCTATGTAAGATCTGGTGTAGGTCATTCCATGTCAAATCAACCAATGAAAAATCCATTTTGGAACTTGATGGCGGATGGGATGTGTTCTTTCAATGGATGCTGCAGTACGTGAAGTCAAGCTGTCATTCTTACATCCAGCTGGACCAGCAACATCATTTTCTTATCCTAGGAAACCGGATGTTCTTACAGTGGCAGGAAACTTCATCCTTTGCAAACTGGATCCAATTGCAGCTACAGGGAGAACATACCAGCTAACCCCACAGGAGATGACAAAAGAATTTTAACATGCTAGCAAAGAAAAAAAGAGGTTCTTAATAGAAATTTTGGTCTATTTTCAGGGCTAAGTCAATTTAAATCCTTGTCACTGCCAACAAGAAAATGTAAGTTTCGTATGATAACATTGAGATACCAGCCTGAAATTTGGATTGACTGGTTACAATGTATCTTTGAGTGTCAATTTTTTGAAAATGTACAGTTGCATCGTGTTGTATATCAAATGAAGGCCCTATACATAATCTTTAAAATGACACCTGTCCCAGGTCTGTAGCTATCATAGGTATCTATTAAATGACATTTGAAATTATGATGGCTAGTGAATTTTGGCATTTATTTTTTTTGCAGTATCTCAGAAACGAGTGAACCAAAAAATCTGGAAAAAATATTTTAAACATCTCATGGTAAGGTACAAATGTACCAAAAATGAACCAAATCCATGACATCAGGGTTCCATGCACTGGTTGATTTGACATGGAATGACCCGTGTCTGATAGCATTTGTGATCATTCTACATATTGCTGGAAATATGAAAAAATGTGGACCATAATTGGGATTATTATGGACTCTTTGTCAGTATAAGCACAGAGGCAAGACTAGGTCAGCACAGTCATGAGTGGGTTTAGAATGCCTCTATGCTGCCACCTTTAGTTTTAGATAGTTTTTATATATTGAATGTGTAGTGACATGAATATATATATATATATATTTGCATCTCCAAGTGGTTTTCACTGTACACAAATATGTAATTGTTTAACATGGTATATAGATACTTTAGGCAGAACTATGGTGAGCTCACCTTAGAGAAAATGACTGACACAGTTATCTTTTCTTCTAGTTGCAAGTGCAGCTATTGATTGGGAGATGGTTCAAGAAAATCTACCTCACAAATTCCATTTATTCACCCATGTGCTGCATCACTGGAAATAACAGAAACTTTGCAGTCATTCTTGAAAGTCTCAGAACAGGCGGATACCAAGTTGGTGTATTGCACCCTAAGATTGGGTCAACATCCAAAGTATTCTTGATTTCACCAGTATGATCCATCATTAATATATGTCTTAATAAAGTTTGCACAGGCTTCAAACAATACTTCTTGTAGTTTCTTCTGAGTTTTTCAAGAAATGGTTGCTTGACATCTCCTGCTGAAAGAAAGTGGCTTCTCTTATCTGTTCCTGGAAGTATTGATGGAATGCAGTCATGTCTACACAGGAAGAAAGGCAGATCAATACAGAATATGCTGTATCCTTACTGGAGCAGTTAAAGTTGTTCTATGAACAGCAGTTGCTAACGGACATTGTTTTAATTGTGGAGGGCACTGAATTCCCTTGCCATAAGATGGTTCTTGCTACTTGTAGCTCTTACTTCAGGTATGTACTGAAAGTAGTGTTGTTTCTTCTGGGAAAATATGTCTTAATTTAATGTGTACAAAATGTGCATATCTCAATTCATTGTACAGTGATTCTACTAGTAACTTTAGTGGAGGTGAATAATGAACTAAAATAATAGTTACAAATACATAAGTAATAAAGTGAATACAACTCAGCTAATTCAGGGCTGTACTGATGGAAGAATGGCTCTTGTGCAAGTGGTGTTCATTAGTTTGTTTTTAGTCACATCTTGCTTTCTACAGGTGAGCCCAAGAAAGTGTACATGGCTCCTCTCTAACAACTCTGAGAGGTACAGTAAGTCAAGCTGAGAGAAAATGACTGGTTGAAGGTCACCAAGTGAGTTTTCATGGCTCAGTGGTGACTAGAACCCAGTTCTCCCAAAGCTGATGTATCATTCTTAACCCCTGCAGCATAGTGGCACTCTGGCTATTACATATGACCTTTTTTGTTGTTCTTTTAGCCAGCAGTGTGTTATGTTTGGGAGGTGGTGGTAAAGGTAATTCTGGCTAATGGAGACAAGATCTCAGACTTGTCCAGTTATTTTTGTAAGGTTTATGCAGGAGTAGGAAGGAGGCTTATGGGGGGCTTTACATTTCTTTGAGATGGTTAAATGTTAGGGAAAACCTTGGTGGTTGAGAGCAAACAGTTGTGCAGCCGTGGTATTTATATTATTTGTTTGTTTGTTTTTTGTTACATTTATATACAGTATTCCTTTTCCTCGAGTGATTTCAAGGGAACTACTGTACACACAGAACTGAAGTCTTTCTGACTTTTTAGAAGTATTAAATAATGATTAGTGTTCAAACAGTTCTGGGTACATACATTTTGAAAACCCAACAAAGTATATGAGACAGTTCACATGTTCCAGCATTTCAATCACATTTGTTGGGCTTCATTAATGTAATTTGAGTAGTTTGCAATTCTGTTTACCAAATCTCTAAATCTATGTGCACATGTAATGAATAGTATTGTAACCTAAATACATAGTAATGTCAGTTGCTTGAAGTGTTATCCTTTTTCAAAGGGATTGTGAGGGAATATAGCTGTTGCTGGATCAATGTATTTTTGAAAGTTTTTAAATGCACTGAATTTTATCCTGTTGTCATGGAAGACTTGAGAACATTAATGTGGAAGCTGGGATGTGATTAATGGATTTTGTTTTTATTCTTCAGGGCTATGTTTATGAGTGGGTTGAGTGAAAGCAAGCAAACACATATCCATCTGAGGAATGTGGATGCAGCCACTTTGCAAATAATAATAACTTATGCATACACGGGTAATTTGGCAATAAATGATACAACAGTCGAACAGCTTTATGAAACAGCTTGCTTTTTACAGGTACGAATGTTCTACATTTCATTTTCTAAAATGTAAAGTTGTATCCATGATCTGATTGTTTCTTAATACTTGACATTCTTAATTAAATTGCACAATGGGAAGAGATTCTCAAAGCAACTTGTACTAGGTAAAGATACAGAAGGAAAGTATACCAGGATAGGTTTTAAAGAAATTGCTATTAAGCATTTATGTATCCCACATGGAATTCAGGAATCCACAGAAATCATGGCTGGCTGTGGTGGAGGAGCAACATGATTGTGCATACTGCCCAATAGGAGTAGGGAAACTATGCATCTGCTATCAGACCTGTGAAACAGGCAAGAATCTGTCTTCTTGATTTTGTTCCTGGCAAGCCAATAAATGTATCTCCCCCTTCAAACTTGTGAACTTTCTCTGGTTTATTGGGGGCAAGGCAAGGTAAGTCAAGTGTCAGCTTTTGCTGAGTTCACACATTACAATCTGTTTCCACTTGCAGAATGCATCAGGGTCGTGACTCATCCTTGGGAAGTTGATATTCTTTGAATTCTGGTTTAATGTATATACAGATTGGCTGAAGCACATTGTTCTAACCCACTCTACTTAGAAGTACACTCCTGGTTTCAAAAAAGCTTGCTTTCGTTAGGTACTTCAAAGGTCATGAGCCTTCAGATACAATCTTCATTAAAGTGAGTTAAAATTGCAAGTGCAAAACAAATGATAAGGGACATGTAGTGCAGTAAAAAGAAGGAATGAGTCCCTAGCCAGTACTCTGCTGAGGATGAAAAACCTTGCTCAGCATCACTACCTGGATGGCCTTGTCTATTGTGACTTGCAATATCAAAACTGTTTCAGTCCTTAAGCCAGAAAGAAGCCCAAACTTGATGTGCCCCCCACTGATTACTATCTTGTGAGAGATCATATGGTGCAAAGGTATGGGCAGTTTTTTGAGGTTCCCAACTATGTGGGCAGAAATTGTATGTTTGTTTGTCTGTTAAATTAATTTAATTTTTACCCCAACTGTCTAGTAGCCAGAAAAGTATCCACAACATAAACAGATTCAAGTAAACTAGCAGATTCTCTCCCTCCCCTACAAAGAAATGAGAATTGTTCAGGTATTGATATGTATAAAAACATATCAAAACATATCAATAGGAGATTGGAGTGCCTATCCCCACACCTCTCTCTTGTTTTCTTCTTACAGAGGCTGATGTGTCTGCAGAGAAGAGGTTTTTACTTGTGATGCATATGTGCAAGCAAAAAAGCAAAGCAAAGTGTCCTGCTTATTTACCACCCCATAGTGCTTAAAGCACTCTCACTCTCTTGGCAGTTTAAATCATCATCATCTTCTTCTTCTTATGATGATGATGATGATGCAAGCTACACACAGACTTCTCTGCAGATACAATGCTTTTCACTTGGAGAAAACCAGAATAGGAAGGGGTTGGATACTCCTCTGTAAGCATGGTGAGTTTGTCAGTAAATAACAGAAAAGTCTGGCTGATTACTCAGAGACTGTCTTTTCAGTTGCATTGGTGTTAATGGACAAACCTGTGTGCCTTCTCCCCACTTTCCTGCTTTTTTGTGCAAAATGCCCCAGTTGTTGTAGCCAATGCATTTGAGCATGACACCAACAGTCTGTGACAATTCCTTCACAAGTAGACATAGTTAAATAAATTGAGAGGATGCTGCTTTTATTACAACTCCAGATAAATTGTTCTATTGCCTGTTTTTATTTTGCCATTAATTGCAGATATGGACTTAATATACCGTATTTTTCGCACCATAAGACGCACTTTTTCCCCACAAAACGGGGGTGGAAAGTCTGTGCGTCTTATGGAGCAAAGAAAACAGATTATATTTTCCTGTTTTCTTCTCCTAAAAAATTGGTGCGTCTTATGGAAAGGTGCGTCTTATGGAGCGAAAAATACGGTAAGTAACACTATGACTGATTCTTAACTGCATTTCTTTTTTCATTCCAGGTAGAAGATGTATTACAGCGATGTAGAGAATACTTAATTAAAAAAATTAATGCAGAGAATTGTGTACGGCTTTTAAGCTTTGCTGATCTTTTCAGTTGTGAAGAATTAAAACAAAGTGCTAAAAGGATGGTAGAACACAAGTTTACTGCTGTGTACCACCAGGAGGCTTTCATGCAACTCTCACATGATTTGTTGATAGATATTTTAAGCAGTGACAACTTAAATGTGGAAAAGGAGGAGACAGTTCGTGAAGCTGCTATGTTATGGCTGGAGTACAATACGGAATCTCGATCACAGTATTTATCATCTGTTCTTAGCCAAATAAGAATTGATGCACTTTCTGAAGTTACACAAAGAGCTTGGTTTCAAGGCTTACCACCAAATGATAAATCTGTAGTGGTTCAAGGATTATATAAATCTATGCCGAAGTTCTTTAAACCAAGACTTGGAATGACTAAAGAAGAGATGATGATCTTCATTGAAGCTGCTGCTGAAAACCCTGGTAGTCTTTATTCTTCAGTATGTTACAGCCCACAAGCTGAAAAGGTTTACAAGCTTTGCAACCCTCCTGCTGATTTACATAAGGTTGGGACACTTGTAACTCCAGATAATGATATTTATATAGCAGGTGGGCAAATCCCACTGAAAAATACAAAAACCAACCACAGTAAAAGTAGCAAACTACAGGTTGCCTTCCGAACTGTGAATTGCTTTTACTGGTTTGATGCCCAACAAAACACATGGTTTCCAAAGAGTCCAATGTTATTTGTTCGTATAAAGCCATCACTGGTTTGCTGTGAAGGCCACATCTATGCAATTGGAGGAGACAGTGTAGGTGGAGAGCTCAACAGAAGGACTGTGGAAAGATACGATACTGAGAGAGATGAATGGACCATGGTGAGCCCACTGCCCTGTGCGTGGCAATGGAATACAGCAGTTGCAGTTCATAACTGCATTTATGTAATGGCACACAACCTGATGTACTGTTACTTCCCCAGGTCAGATGCTTGGGTTGAAATGGCAATGAGACAAACAAGTAGATGCTTTGCTTCGGCTGCTGCTTTTGGGGATAAAATATTTTATATTGGAGGCTTGCATGTTGGTAGCAACTCTGGTATAAGACTCCCCACTAGCACTGTAGACGGGTCTTCCGTAACTGTGGAAGTTTATGATGTGAATAAAAATGAATGGCAAATGGCAGCCAATATTCCTGCCAAGCGGTATTCTGACCCCTGTGTCAGAGCTGTTGTGATCTCCAATTCCTTGTGTGTCTTCATACGAGAAACCCATATGAATGAGAGAGCCAAGTATGCTACCTACCAATATGATATGGAGCTTGATCGTTGGTTCTTGCGCCAGCATATATCTGAGCGGGTGCTCTGGGATTTAGGGAAAGATTTTCGGTGCACTGTAGGAAAGCTGTATCCATCTTGCCTTGAAGAGTCCCCATGGAAACCTCCCCCATATCTTTTTCCACCTGATGGGGCTGATGAGTTTGAGCTGGATGGAGAGATGGTTACATTACCACCTGTATAGCTCCCAGAATTCAGAGACTGCATGCTTGTGACTGGCTATGATGAGAATTCTTTGAGACAGCAGGGCTGAAAACAGAAACCTTAAGCTGACTTCTGTGTATGCCCAGTTTAACATTTTGTGGCTCTTAAGTGTAAATCAGTGAAATTTATGAGCAGATATGCTTCCATAATCTGAAACAATCCCTCTCGTAGCTGATGGGATCTATATGTATATTGCAAGCTTAAAGCATCTGCTTATTGTCCAAATTTTTAGTCCTGTGAAGACTTTTCGTTCAGGAAACATTCACAAAAGCAGCTTCTTTTTCTAGGACGGTATGTTAATTGCTCAAAGTATCTTCCAGTTATATCAGAGTGCATTCTGGAAATCTCTGTATGTGCTAGTTATATAGATTGTGTGGCCTAACGGAATGTGCTGCACATTAATAAACAACAGCCGTGTTGGTATAATAATGCCATGTAAAAGAAGAAACAAATCCCATGGATCTACCTGTGGTAGGAAGGGTAGATCTTCCATTTTATGGTGATATGCAGGGCAAAATGACTGCAGGCTCAGTCAAGCTGTATTATTATAATTATTATTAGGTGCATGTATTTTCACTAACTTATACCTGTCTATTTAGAATACAGGTCTTCCGAGCAGCTGGTAGTTTACCAGGTGTGAACTTACGTTGCTGGGCTTGCAATACAGATTGCCAGCCCTTCCTAGTGCGGGTCTGTGTGGAGCTTTTGATCAGTAAATAGCTCCGCATTCTGTGTTTCAAAAATATTGGCTCATGCATATTACTTCCTGCTGCTTATGTTCCTCCTGCCCCAGTGTAAACCAAGAGATAGCATGGATTTACCAGATGTTGGGGTTTTGTTTTGTTTTTTGTTTTTTTGCTAATTTAATAACAAGCATTACTGTAGTGTGATTGTGTATAGGTACCCCTTAACTTTTTTTTTGTTTGTTTGGATTTTTTAAAAAAATTTTTGGAGGGGGGAACAAATTTTGTTCAGGAATATTCTGCAGGCGAGCAGTTGACTAGTGCTGCTCTGGCATTAATCCCAGGAACCACTAGCAGTAGCGGGGCACCGCCAATCTTACATGAGCACAGGTGCTTCATGATGGATCATACTAGCATGTTCAGCTGCATCATGTTCTGGCACTGTATTTTGAATTATATTAATTTATTAAAAAACAAATTAAAGTTTTGCTAGTCCTGTTTTATGTGTTTTGCAAGATAATTTCTTAAACTGTTTTAATATGATTACAAAGGTAGTCTGTGCATTTGTCACATAATGTTCAAGACTGATTTCTCATAATGCACTGTGGCTTAGTATATTCATATAGCAATTCAGAACAGGAAGTGCAAAGGCAACCTGCTTCTCCCATGCTACCTTATATTGGGGTGAAACAGAGCTTGGGATCTCCTCAGAATGGCAGATGTGACATACCTTTTTTTTTGCATTACGGAAAACAACAGGAAGGGGTGACTATTTTGACATCATCTGCCCTTGCTTTTCTGAAGCTAGGAAATGTCTTAACGCTTGAAATATTCCAAGGAGGTGGCCATGTTATCATGCAATCTTGTGCAATTACAAAACACTGAGGTTTGAGAATTTTGAACCAAAAGTCAAAAACTTAAAAAACTAAAAGGACAGATCTTAGAATGTCTTCGATGAATGGAGTAGTAGCATACCGCTGCAGGAAGCTGTACATTCAGAAGTAGAGATCTTGTGTATGTGGACATTGTAGGACTAGCTCGTCATTCAGTTGTTGAAAAGTGTTGCCTTAGTCTACTGCTCCTTTGTTAGGAGTAGGTGGCTGCAGTAAAGTACAGTACACGTTTGTGGAGGACTGATGCTGTTAGGATCCTCTTGTGTGTACAAACCTGCCTTTTGAATCACAGGCAACTTCTTGAACTGCTCTGTTCCTCATTTTATCATTGTTAAAACTTGTGCAGTTTTATTAAGCATAGGGAATCTCCCTTATCAGTTTTTCCTCATTTTGATAAATGTGACACATCTTTGTTCATTCCAAATTCTTTTTTAAAAATTGCATTTGTGGCCAAGTGTAATGTACGATCCTTGTTCTTGACTATATCTCTTCTTTTTTAACAGCAGGAGAGATTACAGTGGTGCCTCGCACAACGATTGCTTCATACAACAACGAATTCACACAGCGATGGGTTTCTTTGAGGAATTTCCCCCATCGTTTAACGATGTTCTCTATGGGGGAATTTCACTCAACGATGTCCCTTTTTCGCTCCTGTAAAAGTGTCTTAAACTGTTTGAAACCTGTTTTAAATGCTTGCAATCGTTAGCCCACCTCCTGAACCCTATGCAAACTTAATTTGGTGTTGTTCTGAGTCGTCGTTAATTTTTGGTGATTTTTTGTTTTTTCTCTCATTGAACTCTATTGAACTGTCCGTCCAATGCATTTCAATGAGAGAAAAAACAAAAAATTACCAAAAATTAACGACGACTCAGAACACCACCAAATTAAGTTTGCATAGGGTTCAGGAGGTGGGCTAACGATTGCAAGCATTTAAAACAGGTTTCTAACAGTTTAAGACACTTTTACAGGAGCGAAAAAGGACTTCGCAAAGCCATTGAAATGCATTGAGTCGGCTTCAATGCATTTCAATTGGGGAACCGGGTTTCACTCAACGATGTTTCCTATGGCGATTTTCACTTAAGGACGGCAATCCGTTCCAATTGGAACGGATTAACCGGTTTTCAATGCATTCCTATGGGAAATGGTGTTTCGCAGAACGATGGTTTCACACAGCGATGAATTTTTGGGAACCAATTAATATCGTTGTGCGAGGCACCACTGCATCTCTTACCTGACAATCTAACTCATCTCATCTAGACACAAGTCTTGAATGAGCAATAAAGTAAAAATAGCAGGCTGTCTTCATAAATGAGTAATCGTTGTGGCACAGCATATAAAGTAACAGGTTGTATTTTCATGAGGATGATTCTATTCCTATAATATTAGAGTCTGTCTAATTTGCTAATGCAGAACAGCCCAGGATTACTTTCTTTTAGATTTTGTCCATACTGGTTAAAACTACTCATTAGGGAAGTTAATCACAAGAAAAAAAAATGGTTAGGATTTGTAGCTAATGTTTAGCAATGTAGCATTTATACCACTTTTTGCAATTCACAATGTAGCTGATGAAAATAGGGCAATGTAATGATACAAAAAATAGATCAGGAACAAAAGATGAACAATGTTGCTTTCAAATTAGCAAAATAATAAAATAAACATATATAGTATATGAAAAAAGTAAAAATAATAGCTACAAACTATAATACTCATAAATTAAGTTTTCTTGTAAGAAACCCAGTGCTGCTTTCTGCAGTACTGTATCAAAGTCTTAACTGTACACGGTTTTGTAGCTCTTAACAACCTTTTCAAATTGCCAATAACATACAAGGCAAGGGGCACATTCAGATATTATTCTGTCCTTCATTTCTGTGTTTTTCCTAGGCCATGAATAAGCTCTCCTAGGTCACTGCTCCCCTTTACCACCAGTCTTTAGAGCAAGCTGCCAGTCTGAATCCCACTTCTAGTTTCTCCATATCCCAGAACAATCTTAGAGCAATATGCAAGTTCATGCACAATCCTCCAGAACATACTGTGTCTTTTGCAGTAGATACTTATTGGCAGGAAAATACACTGAAGCAAAACAAGAATTCTTTTATTTCTTGGAACAAAATATACAGAAGAAGTATTAATAGTCTTTTGAACACATTAGCATATTCTTTGCAGTGTGAAATTAGAAGAAAAAGTAGCTAAACTCAGCAATCTTCTTTCCTCCATATATTGTGTTCAGTTTAAAATCCATGATTAGGTAACAACTTTTAGTTGTTCACCAAAACCAGCCTTGAGTGAATTGATGTCTTCAACATTTGGTAAGAAGGGGAAAGATATTTCTAGCCTATTTCATTTTGTAATACGGTCCACATTCCAAATATATACAGAAACATAAAAGTAATATCTTGTATGTACATTATGCAAATGTATCATTCTGTAGTACAAACATGAACACATATCTTCTCATAAAATAGGTAGCAGCTTGATCCTAAACCACTTATAGATAGGATAAAAAGGTCTAACACTGCATAATATCCCTGCAATAGCCATCAGATATTACACTGTGCAGAGTGTTGCATTCAAAACATTCAATTTTTCATAGAGCAAATCCTAGGGTACTCATTCAAATATTGGGGGTTTAATAATTATGCCAGTTTTCCAAAGAGCTAATGTGCATTCTTTTACATGTGATTTGATTTTAATATTCCTGTCCCTTGTGTAACAATGCACCTGATCAGTCTTACTGTACATTTCACAATCTATTGTTAGATTACATGCACATATAATCGCACCACATGTAGACTGCACACTTTTAAAACCAGCCTTTAAAACCCATTTCTAAAAGTTAGCAGGAGTTTGTTTTCTAATCTCAGCTTTTAGAAATACCCCTACAATATCTGAAGCAGAATTCTTTTACACAGGACTAAATACTAAGAACAGCACTTCACTGCTGCATTTAGCCTGTTTTCAACATCAGTGAATGCCAATCCCATAATACAATGACATATTAGCCGGTACTTCTCCATCTGTAATACTTAAAACAGTGCACCCACTTCTAACAAATTTTCTACTGATCATTTTAGACTTAAAGTTTATGAACATGGCCCAAAATTGAAAGTAAATTCTTAATGGGTATAACTGAAAGAAAACTATTAAGAATAAGTGCCCTCCTCTATGTATCAAAGCACATTAATTTTCAAATGTCAATGTAGAAACTTAAAATAAGTCTTTTGGGATACTTAAAGTTATGCAATTCTATAAAAGTACATACCACACTGTGCCAATTACAATTAGTTCCATATATCTCAGGCTAGCTCCTGAGTCTTATGTACCTCTGTAACTATTAGCACAGATATTTATAAACTACTGACAGTATTACTTACATAATTAAGTAATGCCAGATATTTTCCCTGAAGTATAATTACAAACATGCTCAAACAGTATCCAAAGTACTGGCTATTTACTCAAGAAAGGTGGATACTATAAACTGTTGGATACCGAACTGTTACTTTTAAGCATCATTCCATCTTGTATCCTAAGAGTTCTGCCACATTTTCATTACAGAGAATGCTATTACTCTGTAGGTATTATCAAGTGCTCTCTTTAAATTAGGATGAAAACCGGGAAGTTAGATGAAGAAAAAAAAACTATTTCTATTAAAAACTTGTCTACATGGCAGTAGCTATCATGATGTATCCTTTAACTCTACAGGCAATAGAGATCGTAATTCTGACTAAACTACCAGGTAAAATGTTTCTTTTTATGGAGGTAACACCTGTTGTTGAAGGACTGAATTATAATTTAGTAGTTTATTCACTGGACAAGAAAAGTGCACTAGCAACAAAAAAGAACAAATATGATAATTTTTCTCCCAAGAGTACAAGATATTGGCTCTATTGTTGCAAATGCTAAGTTAGAAAACAGCAGTTAACACTTTGGAAACACATTACTATATAAAGAGGATACACCAAAGCATCTATCACTTTTGTGCAACAGTATACATAAAAGGTTACTCTGTGGGAGTCTAGGAAGTGTGAAGAGTAGGCATCCCAATTTCTAGTGTGTTAAAACTGGTTTCTAACATGTATATTTCAGCAATGTAGCTGTCTGCACTAGGCACACAGGTATACATGTCTTACATTTTCTGTGATAGCTCTATATGAAAATTATATGATATGGGATGTTTGTACAAAAATCCTTCCAGAGGTTCAGGACTTTTTTGGACTCTCTAGTAGGGGTACATTCTGTCAGTTCAAGCACTAGCAGAATCTTACAAGAATACTTGCCATCTAGGTACAGCAGACAGAAGCTACATTGACATTATGTCTATTATTCCTCTTCTACTTAAGTCACTTCAAGTTAGGCCCGAAAGTCAAAAAGGAGAAAAGAGAGAGAGAGGCTATTTCAAAGTTCCAAGGCATTGAAATTATTTTCTCTTTGTTAATTTCTGTGATGCTCTAAGCAGTGTCCTTCTGTTACAAGCCCATTAGGGTGCCCCCACATCAATGATAAACAGCCTGTGACCCATGGAGCATCAGTTACTGTTAATGCAATATATCTAAGTAATATTACAATTACTTCTCAAATCTCTACAAACCCATACAATGAATTACAAAAGTTTACAGCAGCAAGGAAGAAAAAGAACACACTGCTGACTCTTGTACTTGGAGTCTTAACTGTGCCAGAGAGGTAGATGCATGGTTATAAGTTATTTACTGGTGAAAGTCTCCCAACACCTACTGTGGGAATATAGTCCAAGTGGAAGGAAACATCAAATCACACAGTAGGCATCTAAAGAAAATGTAAGTTTACATATATACTATGGAAAAGGGAAAATATGTAAATTGCTCAACACAGCTGATTTTCTTGAGATGTTTTCCAGGCAACTGTTCCAAACAAGCAACAAAGCCAGTTAAAGAACTGAAGAAGCTTTGCATTTCAGTTGATGATTAAATTGTTCTAGCCTTTGCTCTTATCTATAACCTTTTAAATTACTCATTAAAAACAGAATGCTAGCTAGATTTATAAGATGTAAAATGACAAGGGGGTGCAAAATGGTTTAAGCAACATTTCAGCTTTCATTGGGAGATTAGACTGAGAATGCAATACTGCTTATTTAAACCCCCTTTGCATCATCATTATAACCTTAGTTGTTTTGAAGCTGAACGGTTAAGCCTTTACTTCCCTAGACTGGAAATACGTTGCATTGAAATGAAAGGAAGTTACTTCTCTATCTAGGGGTGGTATGTGACAGTATGCATATATACAAAGATTTTATATAAATATCATGTTTTGAAATGTTAGCCCCAAAGTCAAATTTTCTGCCTCAAAGCTGGAGCATGATTCAGTTCTACTCTATTAAAATAAGTCTAGACAACCAGACTTAAAATACAACATTTACGTAAATCACCACCATCCAAAACCAGCATACATTGGAAAATAAAGCCTGTCCTAGGAGAAGACTTAGATTTAAAGACAAGGAGGCATTAATGCAAACTATGACATCCAGCAAGACAGGTTTAAAGATCATTTGTCATCGTCATGCTAGTTGAAATGTGCATATTTTAAAAGACATCTTGGTTTCATTCTCAAAATAAATGTAAGGGTTTCGTCCAATGCAGAACAATTACTCTCCAAGGCTTTGTGTTGACTGGGTAAAAGTAGAAAGCCACGAGGACATTGCTGATTTTGCACTTGTGAAAGCTCCTCCAACTGACTGACCTGTATTTTAAAGAGAAAGGTTAGGGAAGGGGTGGGGGAATGGTTAAGTAAAGGCAAATGCATGATGTCTCCAGTTAGTGAGGAGACATCATGCAATCATATGAAAGTTGACTCAGAAGTAATTCCCATAATAGTAATTCCCATACATAGGATTGCCATGTACGGGTATTACTGGGACTTGCATCTCATTTTAATAGACTGTGTATTGAGCCAAATGTTATCTATGTTGTATCAGACTCATGTTGGTTAATTTCTTTAAAATAGAGGAAAGGAATATGAACTGGGTGCTGAAAGAGCCAACAAATGTTTCTAGTGAAGTTTTTATTTTGTGACAAATCTCCACAGGAAGAACATTCTCCAGTTACATTTTCTCATCAAGGTCATTCATGTTTTGTACCACTATACACATCAGCCAGTTTTGTACTACTTACTATTCACATCAGCCACACCAGCATGGCCAATGATCAGATATGATAAAGGGGGAGGGAGAGCTATATTAATAACTACTATAGCATTTAAGATAAGAAGGAACTTCAGCACAAAAAACAAGCCTGATAGCTTGTACCTAACCAGTCAGTTCAACACCCATGGCTGGCTCTGGATTGGAAGATGGGAGGGTAGGAGCAGAAAGAAAAGTAATGAGTTGGAGCTATGCTATGTTGATTTCAGCTCACTGTCACTAGCAGACTAACACTGTTTTCAGTGAAGCTTCTTGTTCCTCTTCTGTTCAACGTATACGGTGGTGCCTCGCAAGACGAATGCCTCGTGCAAAAAAAAACTCGCAAGACAAAAGCGTCTTGCGAGTTTTTTGGTAACTCGCAAGAGGAAAAAAACTTCGTCTTCTGAGGCGTGGTTTCCCATAGGATGCATTGAAATTTAATTAATGCGTTCCTATGGGCGAAAAAACTTGGAAAAAAGTCTGAACAAAGTCACAGTACCAGGTACTGTAGACCGAGCCCCGCTCCTCACAGTGCCTTGGTGGCCTTGGAACAGCCAGACTGTGTGACTAGAGTGCCGGACAGCTGAGAGGCGGCAGCCATTTTGTGGTCATCTCTGCTCCCCACCCCCGACTCTCAGCTCTTCGGTGCTCAGTCTCAGGCTTCCCAGGGCTTCCCAAGCACGGAAAAAGGCAGGGGGAAAGGGCACTTTTCCCCTGCCTTTTTCCATGCTGGTCAAGCACCAGGAAGCCTCTGAAAGCGGCGCTTGCTACGGGGGCAGGGGGGGCACACGGCCAGTGTCGCTTTAAG